TCTGGTACTACGAAGAACAGTTCCATAGCTATCAAGAACATCAAGGTATGAAACAGCATGGATGTTAAGCACTAATGAAAATAGAAGTCATCTATGTCCTCTTGGGCATACCAGCTCCCCCAGTATAGCTTCCATATTGTCAATAAAATACCTGACTTTTCCTAAAGTTAAGTGATTGCAAAGAATGGCACATGATTTACTTTATCTTCTCCCACTAGTTTTAGAATTGGTTCTAATGCTGAATGGAACAAAAGGATGTATGGTTTGTTCTTTAAGAACTACAAGGTTCAATAAATTGCTCAATGTTTTAGGTTTATGTGAAACTGATATAACGATGCTCTATCGCCAAAAAAATGAAATCTCTAAAAGATAGCAAAAAGTTTGAAGAGTCCTGAAGACATTACATTAATATTTATTCCTGGAGAAACTGAAGCTTGAGCTAATAAAATATTTTCAGGATGATACATCTGCGCATGCTTTAAAACCCTCTAATCATCTCAACTAGATCGAAGTCCTAATGCTACCATAGCCCATGTGTTCCCTTGTGTTATAAAAGCCCTGGGGTACAGGATGCCATACATAATTTGGGTTGCTTGAGTGTTACCTGTTCAAAGACACACTTTCTTCTGGGGTCAATTGATTTTAATTTATAACCTCTGGTGATCTGAGTCCATAACATCTATACTGATGTGAATATTCTTAGTACAAACTTAAAAGGGGATCAGAAAAAAAAAAAAAACAACACAAAACACAAGTAATTCTGACTGCGTTACATATTGTGTTCCCCTGCTAGAACAAGATTAAGGTCATTGGCAGGTCAGACCATGTATGTGTAAAGTTTACATTGCAGATATCTTCACCGGTTTGCTGAAGTGCTCATAATTTCAGGCACTCAAATACTCTTCAACTTTGTGAGTATAGAACATATGTAATTAATCAGAAAGTCATTACTAAAAAAATGAATTTCTGTAGGTGTATGAAATCATGCACATCTTTTAGGATTTATAAGAAAACCACAGCTGAGTCTGATGTATCAGATAAATAATAGCCAGGTTTTCAAATTAAGCAACCTCAATTTTTGTTATTTTGAAATTAAGAAATACTATTTTTATTGTTATTTAAAAGTGATTTTCCACAATTATAAATTCCTTACATGGCAATTAGCATAGCATGCATTTACATGCATTTGTTTGCATATAGTATTCTGTTTTGTCTCAGGTTCAAGTTTTAAGCAACAAGTATTGCTCTGAACAAAGCCCACCTTGAATGCTACCATTCCACATGCAAACAAGAAAAGCCTCACTTTACCTTTCTCCATGTCTGAGAGCAAATTTTAAGCTCTGCTTTCCTGCTTTGAAAACCATAGCAGTTTTAGCAGTTAGTACTTCTAAATGACACCAGTTAGTGTTCAGCATATAAATTCTAGATTATAAAAGTGGTTTGTAACCACAGTCTCTCTTCTGTGTTCCAGGAAATGCTTTGACTGCTGTAAGCCATGCAGCAGGTTAGTAAGAATTTGTCAGACTGGACTCCAAGTAACACCAGGGCAACACGGGTAAGGTTACTGATGATTTAGTAGGCTGCATGTTGCTCCTGGTTAGAAGGCATTTGAGGCATAGATGTAAACGCAAAGAACCCAAGCACTCAGAGTGGCTAAAGATACAATTTTGCTTGTTGGAAGAGTACCTGTTTTAACGAGATCATCCTAGCATCTTGGAAAAATTCCAGCATAGGTAATTGCATTGTTTTAGCAAATTCTCCCTCCATTTCCAGTTAGGAAAGGTATTCATCATTTTTGCTTTAACTCCTCTGCTGCTCCCATGATAGAGGGAAAAAAAGCAGCACTTGATACTGATGAACCTTTTGACACAGAAGTGGAAACCCAGGGTTGCTAAGTAGGTAATGGTGAATACAAACATTTTAAATGAAGACGACAGCACAGTTCACTCAAAAACAAGTGCTACCCTGCCACAAACCACCAGAACTATTCCTAGCATAAGGCAAAGAGAAACAGAGGGTCACCCCAAGTACTGGTGCTTCACCACTACAGAATTCCAATTGCATTATGTGATTAGGAACATGGGCATTGCATTAGGTAACCTTAAGGAGCAAGGAAAGCTCTTGTTCTTCCTTTCTCCAGCTGCAGTTAACATGGATGTGTAATTATTCGGAGAACTGCCACTAAGCAAGAGAACAGACTCAATCCCCATATTTGTGTGGTAGCCTGTGGTGAATGTGTCTATAAACCCCTTAAGTCCATGTGCATCCTCTGCAATCAGTGGCACTGTAAGACAAGTCACTGTCTTCCAGTGGATGCATTGAAGGCTGAGCCAACCACATCAACAGAGACCACACTCCAGCCTTTCTTCCCAGCTGGGAATTCCAACCAAGTAGGTGTTTTGGGGTTGTCCTTGACCAACACATTTCATGTAACAAGAACACCACTGTGTAATTTACATGTTTCAGTGCACTCAAAAGACTATCATCTCTTCTGGTCCAAAGGGTCCGCAACACAAGGTCTATAGGATAGGAGTAGTGATGTGTTGCAGGCAGAAGGACATTTCTTCCTTAGTATTTTTATGTGGATGGCTAAACTGGAGCTTTTTGGAAAAAGCCCTCTAAAAGCACTTCTGACTTTCCTGACCCTGTCCTGCTCTTATTGATATAATAATTACGATCTTGTGCATCTTAATTTTCTCCATTGAGAGTCTTATGCCGATTCACAGACCAGGTGCTGTGTAGGTGGGTGCTGTGTGGGTTTCCCCTCTGCTCAGATGCCTGAACTACAAGAGCTAAGCATCATGTTCAGCCAGGCCTGAACACCCTTTGAGCCAAGATTAACAATCTGTGCCAAACTATGGAAGCAGCCTGGGATCAAAAACCTTTTTTAAACTTTTGTTAATATCTAGCTATATAAATAGTACAAATCTGTCCATAACACAGTCAGGCAATCTTACAACTTATTTGTCATAATGTCATTGAACAGTAGACATCTAGCCTTGATCTCAGAAATTTCTGATTTAACTCAACTGATTTCAACATTAAAGTATCAGAAATCCATCAGGAAAAACAAACAAACAAAAACAAAACCAAGAACTATAGTTTTTCACTTCCCGAAGAACTCATTTGTGAGCTACTAGTTGCTGTTTTCAAAATTCAAAGGATGTTCTACTTTTTATCTTTTGCTATTCTTCATTAATTAATCAACTCCAACAGTCTTCCTCCAAAAGGACACTGTCATGGCACCACCATATTTCCCAGTGGTTATCAGTGGGAAGGCACCTACAGCTTAACTGAACTCCATTTCTGTAATGCTTTAGTATTCCACCAAAGTAGTATGAAACTATTACTTGCTTCTCTACTGTCATTCCCCCTTATACAGAGTTTGTGATGAATAAAAATAAAAACATAAAATGCAAATAGGACTCAAAAGTACATTTAGTATCAGATTGCCTCTAAACCCACTGCAGCTTTTTGCAGAACTATACCCATGTTCTCCCAAGTTCTCGGGCACATCTGGAGTTTCACAGTTTTGGATCAAACCAGATGACAGCAGTCTGTCAAAAGACAGCCAGAAGCCCATCAAACAGATATGCAAAAGAATTCAATGAAAAAAAAAAACTTTTGAACCCAAAATAGAATTTTCTGTAAAGCAGAAATAGTTCCTTTTTCCAAACTTTCTTTCAGGGAAAGGACAGAAAGATAAATCTTTGTCTGAAAACAACACATTGGCTGTACTGTTGACACAGTCTTTGGAAATAGAAAGACAAGAGCTGTACAACCATTTTACTCTTGTGAAAGCAACATTCTCCTTGCACAAGATGAGAAAATAGGACTGAAACCACACCAGGATCTGTGATCACCTTTGGGGGACACAGTTCTGACCCAAAGGTTTTATGCTTTCAGTACAGAAAACCTTAATTTACTCAAGACATAGTTTTGGACTAGAAACCCAGCTGAGCTTGTTCAGGAAGAGCTTCTGGCTTGTTCTGAGAGATGGTGGTTCAGACCTCTGTATTTGGCCTTAGAAATTTAATTGTACCTAAATTAAGGCTGAAAACTGATCAGGTTGGATTTAAGCCTAGTGTGACTCTGGAACAGAGATTTTGAGCTCTGTCCTTTATTAGTACTTTTCCAAACTGATTTTTTGGCAATCCTTTAATTTTTGCACCCAGTTTTCCCTGCAAATGAGCAGTGAAATTCCAAAGGACTCTATCAGGAGTTAAAATCACTCAGTATATATTTGCCAGCGCATGCAGTGTTTATTTTTAAACAGTGCCAAAAGTGTTTATAGATAGAAACAACAGGACAACCCATAATTAAATAACTGTTTCTGCTACATCTGCTATTTAGCAACTTGAAGGAAAATAATTTCCTAACAACAAATAGGAATGGTCAAGAAAGCTCTCAAGTTTGGGCCCATTATTACCATATAAAACAACATATTAGTTGCTTAGCTACCAATCATAAAAGAAGCCCAATTAAAAATGAAAGAATCTTAACTAGCTGCATGGAATATAAAAGTGAAAAGTTAAAAGCTGTCAGGTGGTTAGTGGAAAGAATACTGAAAAGTGATTGACAAACTGGGCTTGCTTTGCTTCAAATTTGGCTTTGATTCAATAAATGATTGACACACTGATGTCGTCTGAAATAGCAGATTGTGCTTTGGAGAGGCTATTTAGCAGCCCATTGATTGACAGGTTACTAAAATTGTCCCATGGACAGAGGTAACCAAACAGAGCTATATTTTGACAGGTGTTGTTTTTTTTTTCTTTCACCTGTATTTACTATACAGTTTATATTAAAAGCAGAAGTAGAGAAAGGCCCATAAAAGTGTCATTCAATTTCCATGAAAATGGCTTGATACCCTCATTTTGTAACATTGTTCCACAAAACTGGATTTCCATTCATCCATTAAGTATACTGTCTTTTGTGGAGGACTCTTAGAGAGTCCAACTGAATGGCCTCAGACTTTTTATTTTTAAGAAACGGAGCCATACCTTTGCAAATGGAAGTGTTTGTCCATTTGCACACAGAGCACCCTCACCCAGGGAAGGCAGGAACAAGTGACATCGCTAAACAGGCTTCCTATCTGGCACCACGTGGTGAAGCAAAGCTGAGGAGGGACAAGGTGTCTTCCCAATGCTTGGCCTCACCAGTTCCCATAATCCAAGGGTGGACTGGTACCTAAGTGAGATCTGTAAGATTTAGAAGAACTCAATCTCTTCTGAAGAGAATGCAAGGCAGCACATGAGGATGCAAGGAATTTTGCCACTAGTAACACAGATGGTTTCAGATAGTTTGCTATTGTAGGAACAAAGAAAAAGCAATTCTGACCACTGATGATAATTAAAAAATTTTGTGACTTTTTTTTTGTTTTAATTAGGGGAGGATCGCCACCCAGCACTTTACATGGGTAAGCATGAATGCCATACTATTCCTCTCCACTGTTAGCTTGCAAACTCTCCCAAGATCTAGTTCTCAAAGTATATTTGCACTCTTGCATTTTTGACACTTTTAATAGAAAGCCAGTTACCCCCAGTAAGCATTAAGTCTTTCTAGCTTCTAAGTAACCTCCCTCTTCTGTTGCCCTAAAATTCCCATTTGGAAGGATGCTACCTACATTGTCTCAAAGTTTTTATTCTTGACACTTCAGACTTCCACATGACTTTAACATTCCTGATCTGTTCCTGCTGTGACTCTCAGTCATTTATACAGAATATTCTTTCCTTTCTATCTTCAATTTTTAAACTGTATACAGTTCACTGATAAAACTCCACCCCGGTTAACCTAAAGAAGTTTGCATGCTGGTTGCAGGCCAACCAGTAAGTAGGAGCATTCTTATCTGTGGGGTAAGTAACACCAGTTGGGCACCTCAGTATGCAAGTTGCTCCCTCCAAGCACAGAAGGAAAGAAAGAGTTTCCTTCAGAGACTCTTTCACAGCCTGTGCTTTCACCAGACCCCACAGCAAACACAAGAAATTCTTTCCAACAACTGCTTACCTGACAGAGAGAGCCAGGACAGGAGCCCCATCCAAAGGCAGCAAACAACCCCAAGCAGAGCCCCCACAAGCTCAACCCTACAGTTACAGGATGCCCCTGGAAGCCCACCTAAATAATCTCCTGCTCCCCAGCAGCTGCTGCTTGTTAGGGCAGCTTGTGGCCTCTATTGTAAGCACCTGCAGAGGACCTGGTGCATCCAGAAATGCAAACCCAGGCTTCTGGGCTTAGAGTACAAATATTTTTCACTGACATTCAGAATTATATATATACACATGTATATAAATATATATATATAAAGTTCTTCTGTAGAAAGAAAACTGCTATTTCTATTTTTTCCTATCTATAGCTTTCACATGGAGTTATTGCTATTTGCTGTATGAAAACTTTGTTCTTTATGTTATTAAGGGGGTTGCTTTATAAAAATTAAATTTCAATTATGATAATATCAAGTATCTTATCCCTTTTGCTGGCTTTAGCATTTCAGTTAAACTTTCTCTGTATTGTTTATTAAACAAATGTGCTTGGTATGTGTAAACTGTATTTGTCCATTTATCTTTCCTTGACTATAAAAGAAATCCCAGCATGGCTCAGTGGGTGACATGGTTTATTACAAGGGGCAATGTAGAGAACTACAGATTCTTAAAGTATTTAGCACATCACCTTTTCCCCAACACTTACCATAGACAGAGCACAAGATGCTTTAAAAGGTACCAGACTCATTTTAGCCCCTAAAATATCAGATACATCAATTATTTCAATTACCAGCATAATTTTCCTCTCCAACTATAAATACTAATAAATAAGCACACCAATAAAAGAAAGAATAGGCTTACACTGCACAAACAATTCATTATGGCATAATGGAAAGCATTCATTCCAATACCATGGTGATTGGGTGCTTTGTAATTAAATTATCCAGGCAGATAGGGATATTTGCATATTTTGTAACATTGACACTGCTATAACCATTTTAAAAAGTATTTTTAGTCCCAAACATCTATGCCTTCACCGTGCCTTCTACTCAAGGCAAGGAGTTCCTAATCCAATTCAAAGTTTCCTGGAGATGTTTACCTGGTTTTGTCCACTCTATAATGTATTTGCCACAGTTTATCTACTGTCTTTATTTGGATGGCTGCTCAGTCTTTGAAAGGAAGACAGAAATATGGCATCAAAGAACCCTCAGTATTTACTTACCTGTCTTTGTAGGTGGCCTGGCCTCTCCCATTCCCTTAGTTAAAGGAGTTAGTTAAATTCCCTTACTCATTCAAGAGTAAAGATGTTCTACTGTCCAAAAGAAACCTGCTTCTTCCTTCTTGTCGGTCCCCTTCTCAAAGGTGAACCTCACAACCTCCTAACTCCTAGCAACTTGCAGACAGGGCCTTTCTAAGTGTGAATTTTGTACGGACACAGAATTCTTTAGACCAAAGGTCCAACTGCCATCCTTGTGTGATCCTCACAGCCGTTTCCCAGGCAGGTTGCTCTAGAAAGACCAGTGAAGTATTCAGCATTGCTAATGTTCTGTAAATCATCAGTTTTATAATTTTATCATTCATTGATTTAAAAAAAATATATATATTAAAACATATTTTTCAACAAAATATGATATTCAAGGAAAAATGTTTTGGGAGAACACTGCCTTCTTCCAATTCTGCTTTCACCTTCAAAAATGCCAGTTTTCGTGTGTGTGTGTTTTTGCTGTTTTTTTTTTTTTTTTTTTTTTTTTTTTTTCCATTATGTCTTCATCCAAAAGCTCTTCTTAAATTAGAGTCCATTTGCCGTCCAGTTCTATCTGATTTTTATTTTTATTTTTTATTTTTTAAAATCTAAAGATATTGGCATTTTTCTAGAAAAGAAAATAAGTGCGGTAGTAGTCCAACATGCCTGCTGATTATGGACTTCATTCAAAATCCACTGAAGAAAACGGGAGGTTTCTGGATTGCAGTATGAAAAACATTTAGATCAAAATCTTATTCAATTAGCTGTTTTTTTCTGTTTTGATTGGGAAATGGTGTTAGTGTTGCTGTGCTTCTTATTTCAGAAAAAAAAAAATGGTGTGTTTACTGCTTTTTTTTTTTTTTTAATCTGGAGATTTGTTGTGACTTAAAGAAGGAAAATTCAGTTCCTAAAATGAGAGCTTCCAGGCTGTTTCAGTCTGCAGTAGGTTTGCAAGACTGAATTATAAATTCTGGAAATAGGATGTCATAGTTAAAAAATGCATGGTGAGCCTTATGTATAGTTCTGAATGAGATCTTATGTGATATTTTAGCTGATGACATTGTGATGGAAGATGAACCACAGATGTGGCTGAAGAAGGTAGCTGCAGCCAGCACTGTGCAAACCATCGCGCTGTTTTAAATTCTCGTTACTTGGCCACAAAGGATTCATTTTGCAGTTAGATGGGAGTTCAAACTCAAATGCCTTTTTTTGCAGCCAAAAGGTGAATCCTTTAGCTGAAGATTAGAAGGCAAGGGGCTCTGGAAATGCTGCCTGCTGTTACTCAAAGTATAAGTTATTAGCAATATCAGGATTTCATCCCAGGAAGTGAAATTTAACCTTCCCTACCACTCCACCAAGCTGGAGTAACTGAGCTGTGTGCAGAGAAATGCCTGAAAAGGGGAAAATGGATTTTTCCCCAGTGCTGCTGTTCTGCCCCTTTGCAGGGAAAAAGACTGTTGTATAGCATGACAAGGAATATTTCTGAAATCAAAGACACAATTCTATAAACAAATGAGTATTTGTCTTAACGTAAAAACATGCAGGAGACAGTTCCTTATAGTGACCGAGAACACAAAGGAAAAAATTATAAAGAGAAAGTCACAAAATGAGATGCAACTAGAAAGGAACATAAAAATAAGAAAGTGTTTGGTAAGTGCCTTCTCTACATAGGAAAAAGGCCTAGGAAAGATTACATCTGTCACTCAGCAAAGAGAGAAAGCTTTTGACAGATCACCCTAAGAAAGCCTTTTTTGCTTTCATCTTCACTACATGAATCAGCTGTGATCAGATTGCAAAAATAATCAAGACCAGTGTCAGAAGAGTGGGAGCCCTGACTACAGCAGGAAGAAGAGTTTCAAGAGCACTTAGAAAGCACATAGATAAGGCCAGACCATTAAACTCATCTTACAACAATTTCAGAGCTACCAGTGATCTTCCTTGAAGACCTGTGGTGGACCAGTGGTGTCCAGAAGACTCAGAGCAGCCCTTGCATAGCACCTATCTTAGGATGGAAGGGCAGGAAGGGACCATTGGGTCATCTTACCTTCTGTTCATGTAAATGTACTGCAACAAAATAAGCCTAGAACAAGGTTCTTGGAGATGAACAGCAGACAACATGGATTTATTCGGGTTACATTATATTGAATCTACCTAACCTCATTCCACAACAGCATGACAGACCTTGTGGATATAGAAGCCATATATCTTCACTTGCGTGAGTTTTTGCCACTGGCTCATGTAACAGTCTTATAAGTGAGCTAGGGGATATCCTCCAGATGCCACTACTGCAGGGGGCTGGAAGAGGTCAGAAAACCATCCTCCAAAACCATACCTTAGTGGCCCACTGTCGGGCTGGAATAACGTCTGGAGTGGCTCCTTGGCCCAGCAATGTTCCATACTTTTATTATTGTTTTATGAGGTGGAACAGAGAATATTTTGCATGATATCTGCAGATGGTACCAAGCTAGAGGGAATGGCAACAGCCTTTGAAGACAGCATTGTAATACAGAATGATCTTGACAAATTGCAGAAATAGTCTGAAAAAATAGGATGCAATTCAAGATGAATCAGTGCAAAGTTGTCACTGATGCATAATCAGCTGTTCAAATATAGGATGGGGACAACTGATTACAAAGCAGTTCTGCAAGAAAGCATCTGGGGTTACAGTGAATCAGAAGCAGTACATGAGTCAACAGTGTCATGCTGTTGCAAAAAGGGCATATGTCAAACTGGGACATATAAACAGGAGTGTCATATGTTAGACATGTGAAGTAATCCCACTTGGTGCTGGGAAGATTTCAAACACAATAAAGCATCCAGTTTTTGGCACTGTGCTTCGAAACATATGTTGTCCAGCCACAGAACAATGAAAATAATGCCAGGTCCAGAAAACACGGCCTACAATAAATGATTGAAGAAATTGGGGTTACTTGGTGAGTAGTTGTAATAAGTCTTCAAATGTAATAAAAATTGCTGCAAAGAGAAAGGAAATAAACTGTTCTCCATTTCGTGTGAGAGCACCATACAAAGGAACAAATATGGTTCCAAAAGGCATTCAACAGTTGGAAAAATTTATAATGGTAAGCCCACTAAAATAGAATGCCCAGAGGAGTTGTTGGATCTGCATCTGAATTTGTCGATATTTTCACTTTTTTTTTTGTTTGTTTGTTTGTTTCTTAAGAGTGGTAAGCAAAGCTTGAAAGAGTTTATCAACTCCACGATGAATTTCGTTTAAGGTAAGCTATGTATCTCCATATAGATGAAGTCCAGAAAATAAATAAATAAATAAATAAAATAAAATAAAATAAAATAAAATAAAATAAAATAAAATAAAATAAAATAAAATACAACAACAGATTTAATTAGCAGCATTGCAGCCACCAAAGGACAGACAAAGAACACAAAGTAAGATGAGAGACTTCAAGTAAACATCTGAGTTCGTTGTGACTACTCGCTATGGTATCTACGTCACTACTCACAGTTACTGAAATCAAGTACATGCACCGCATTTGACCCTTTATTGAGAGTGAAAATGTCTGTAAACTTTACTGTAATGCACGGCAAATCACATGCATTATTTTGAAAAATCAGACCAAAAATACCCTGAAGCCATAGCAATAGATGATTTTCCCTATCCCAGATCACACTGTTGTTCCATGTAATCTGCACCTAACCAAGAAATTGGAAAACCTCTAAGAACATATCTAGTTGATTGTATATTGCTGTATGTGGGGGGAGCGAATTCTGTCCTGAACCCAGTGGGGAATTCAGCTCATGCCCTGAAGCATGAGATTTGATTACTCTTTTTTGAACATGCATAACTGCCATTGCTATTACTGGTCATAACATTTTGTCAGGAAAGAGAAATATTATTCTGCAATGTAATAAAAATAGATAAAATTCAATATAGCTTCAGAATCATTTGCTACATTTCCAAAGTAAACATTAAGCACCCATCAAGATTATTCCATTGGATAAGCCAAGGAAGCCTCCAGTGCTATCTGTTCATTTTATTATCTCTAATTTTCAAGTGTGCAAAAATGCTTTCAGTAAATATTATGGGTTCTTCCTGTGCTAAAGAGATGCTAAATGACCTTCACCAACTTAGTTATAAATAACAGGAGGAGAGAGCACACAATTGCTGTATAGTTTCAGCTCTATTCAAAGCTATCAGCGAATTCTGACCAGTGGATAAAAATGGACACCCGAGTCTGCTTGCTTTTTTCCCCCTTCTTCATAATCCCACCCCAGTTCCCTCTTGAAAGGCATTCTGTTCTGTCAGCCATAATGGCATCTGCTGGTGGAGACAGGAAGCCATAAATCTGTAGGGTTCCTCTCGACCAAGCCTTGTTAATGCTCCCATTTATCACCGAGGATAGGGTGCCATCTCACTAGTGCTCTACTCAGAAGTCCATCTTCTCAATTTCCCCTTCCCAAAGGAGTAACCATTTAAAACAGTGACTTTCTCATCTTGCATGTTGAGACTGAAAACGCCACTGATACAAATACCATACCCAGTGTGTAGCATTTGGATGTAAGCCATGGCTCTGGAGAACAATAGCCGCTACTCGCTGATCCCAGGCTGCACTGAATCACTGCTTCACGTACATCTAGAGCATGGATCTTTTCAACTTGTGCAAAAGTAGCAGATCCCAGATGGAGAGGTTAAGATTGGAGGGGATTCTGTCTCTGCCCCTGCTCCAATGCCTGCTGGTGTCCTGACACACTGAGCCATGTGCACGACTTGGCAGGACTGGTAATAAAAATGTCACTGTGTTAAAGGGGCTTTTAAAACACAATTCCTCATAATAAACAAATTAGCCTAAGCAGAGGTACAGTGTTGTTCCGTGCAATCAGGGAGGAGAAGGAATATAACACCAACAAGAAGCATCTCTGTGTTTCTGACTTGGGAACCAAGGCACAGAAGGGGAAGGGTGCAGGACCTGCAGGACCACAACCCGAGGCAGGGTGAGATGTAGGAAGAAAATCCTCGATTGCCACCTTGCCCCTGAACTGCCCGACCCAGGCCCAGCACGGTGCTTAGGGTCAGTCAGGGGGTTGGTCACCTCCTCTCCTCCCCATGCCAGGACAACTGCCCCGGTGCTGCGGGTGCTGCTTTTGCCCCATGTCAACACCTGCCCGAAGTGATGGCAGAGCAGAGCCCCAGGTGTGCCTGGCCGGGTTTTACACACGCTGCACACGGGTATCAGAGGGCTGAGCAATTCTAAGTGCTTCAAGCAGAGCTGTTCACTTCTGAGTGAGTTATGCTCGGCAAAAGTGGAAAAATGAGTATTTTATGGGAGTGTTATCCTATTTTATCTTTCAAACTATGCATCTACTTGCACCAATAAATACTTTAAAATTGCTTATAAAAATTGCTAGAGTTTGTACAGGGAAGGCTATCAAATAATTTAAGCAAAATCAGCTAGGTGGACACTTCCATAAACACAATCTCGTATTAGGCTGCTAAATACAAAGGTCACTTAGGGGTCTTGCCATCAAAACCCATTCCCTGCCTGAGCTGCGGGGCTGCGCCTTGTGGATTGCTGGTGACACCGGCTATAACAGAGCGGCACATGCTGGTGCTTTGTAACAGAGCCTGACCTGCCACATTGATTTTAGCGGGATGCAAATGATTCCTATTAATCCCGATAGTTTCATTAGAAGGATACAAATGCCAGAACAGCAACAAAAGCATCAAAGAACTCCGTTCCATGACAAACTCCAGCGTTAAGTGACGGAGTAGTGTGAAGCCCACTTTTCAGAAGTCCTATACAAATTATAATTGAACGCATGTAACTGAATCCGTTCTTTCCCTCTTAAAACCTCAAGGTGTTAGCAGCAGCCGGGGGGGGGGGGGGGGGAAGAGGGGGAGAAGAGGGGAAGAAAAAATTAATAAATTAAAAAAAAAAAAAAAAGATAAAAGATAAAAAAGAAAACAGGGAAAGGAATAAACCTGCCAGAGGAAGTTACCTTCAGGTGCCTCTTTGGGTGAGCCCAGGCATTCAAAGCCGCAGCACCCGCTGCCCTCCCCGGCCTGCCGCTTGCTGGGGGGGGAAACACGCAGCTGCCGGGCAGGGGGGGCACCTGCGGGACTGAAGGACCAGGGGCTGGGAGGAGAGCGGGGAGGGGGCATGGGCACTGTGCAGCGCCCCTGGGCTCCTCGGTGCTGCCGCGACTTTATTTATTGATTTTACTTTATTTATTTTAATTTATTGAATTGATTTTATAAACTTTATATATTTGTATTTTATTTTATTTTATTTTATTTATTTTGTTTTGTTTTGTTTTGTTTTATTTATTTTATTTTTCATTTTATTTTATTTCTCATCTTCTTTTTTCTTTTCTCTTTTCAGTTTCCCTTTACTCTTCCATTTCCTTTCCATGTCATGTCATCCCCCTGCGGGCTGCAGACGGGCTCCAGGCGGAGGCTCGGGGGGGCTTCACCTGAACTTCCCCAAACTTCGCGCCCGGCACGAACCCGACGGCTCCCCCGGGGGCTCCCCCGGCGGGGACCGCCCGACCCCCCCGGCCCTCCTCGAGCCCCCCCCGTCCTTCTCCGCCCCGCAGCGCCCCCCTCGGGACGCGGCCGCGGGTGGGTGCCGGAGGGAGGGGGGGTGCGCGCGTGGGTGCGGGGACGCGCGTGGGGGGGGGGGAGACACGAGACGAGGAGGGGGGACACCACGGGTGGTGGTGGGAGGAGGATGGGGGGGTCCCGGCCGTGCCGAGCTGTGTGCGCGGAGTAAATTTCCTCCTGTCATCGGGGCGCGGAGGAGGAGTTTGTTCCCGTGCGCTTTGCTCGGCGGATCGATGTTTGCTGGCATCGCCTCGCCCTGCCTGTATGTGTGTGTGTGTGTGTGTGTGTGTGTGTGTGTGCGGGTGTGTGCGGGTGTGTACGTGTGTGTGTGTGTGCGGGTGTGTGTGTGCGCGAGTGTGTGTGCGTGTGAGCGGCAGGCTGCCTCCCCTCCCCAGCCTCCCTGCCCGCTCCCATCTCACTCACTGCCTGGCATCTGCCAGCACGGAACCGGCGGCGCTCGGCGCACACACACACACACACACACACACACACACACACCCCGCACACACGCACACCCTGCACACACGCACGCACCCCGCACACACACCTCGCACACCCACCCCCGGCACCGCTCCGCCATCCGGCTCTGCGAGGAGGAGGAGGAGGAGGAGAGGAGAGGGAAAGGAGGAAGCAGGCAGCACCCCCCCCACCCCCCCCAGTCTTTCCCGAGCTGCCTTTTGAATCTATCTCTCTACATATCTATTTGGTTATTTATTTCTTCTCGTTCTCTGGCACTGTGGGCGCCTTTCATTCGCTCCTGAGCTTGGATGTTTGAATCAAAGCAAAGCAAGTGTTGCAACAGTTAAAAAAAAAAAAAAAAAAAAAAAGCCAACCAAAAAAAAAAGAGAGAGAGAGAGAGAGAGAGAGAGAGGCAAAGAAAGAAACCTAGATCTGTAAAATAAAATAAAACCCAAACAGGTTCCTATCAGTGGAGTGGAAAGGAGGGGGGCAGGGGCGGCTTGAGGGGGGTGCCGGGGAAGCAGCTGAGAGGCAGAGGCAGAGGAACACGACTCAGGAGCGTCTCAGGGCTCTCGGATCTGGGGACAGAAGTGAGATTGGAGAAAGTAGAGCGATGCCAAGGAGGAAACAGCAAGCACCCAAACGGGCTGCAGGTAAGGAGAAGCCATCCACTTACACGGCTCTGTCTCTCCGCTCCTTCCACTCCTACCCCCCATCTTTATTATTATTTAGGGTCACCCTTGCTTTTCCGGGCTGGATCTTTATTTATTTATCCCCCTCCCCCTCCCTTTCCCTTCCTAACTCCATCGAGCCGGTTTCACTCCGGAGCGCCCAGATCCCGGCTCCGACCCGGGCTGCCCCCAGCGCGCTCCCACCGCGCTCCGGCCCCGCGGCTCCGCGCCGGGCTCGCATCCTGCCCTGGCCAAACTTTCCCCCCAACTTTCTGCTGCTCCCTTCCCCTTCTCCCCCCGGCCCCTTTCCCTACCGGAGCCCAAAGCAGCCTCCCATTTGCTTCCCGCTTCGATTTTTTTTTATACATTTTATTATCTTTTTTTTTTTTTTTTTTTTTTCCTCCCCTGTGGTGGTTTTGTTTTCAGACCGCGCGTGTCGCGAAGTGGGTCGGGGTGTTTAATCCTTTATGTCGCCGTGTTTCTGGTGGCAGTGCCGGCGTGTGTGTGTGTGTGCGCGCTTGTGTATGCCTGAAATAGTACAGGGACTGTCTCTGCTGATGAACCCGGTGGGGAAGTTCAGCCTTTGATCATCAGTGGTGAAAATTGCAACAGGAAATAAAATGAAACGTTCTGACTGTTAGAAGACAATCCACATTTTCAAATCAAATTCTTCTTTTGTTTTGTAGCTGAGTTTATATATTTGCACATGCCAAGTGGTTTTGCAATTATTCTTTTTTTTTTTTTTTTTTTTTTAAGAAGAAAATAGTTTGCAACTTTGGAAGTGTTTTGTTTTGTCATTTGTAGGGTGTTCTTTTTCTTTTGGGGGCCAAGAAAAAGAAACAGATGAGTGGGCCTGTATAGTAAATCTTTTCAAAGAGTTTTCTTTCAGGCTGCTTAATTGCTTTTTATTTTTTTTTAATAGTGTGGTGGGGTTTTGTTTCTGGGAAGCGCAATATGGAAGTTCATTTTTCTTCTGCCAGACCCACCCACTGAAAAATCAGCTTTCCAGTTGATTGCCAGCTTTGATTTGACATTTGATTGATCACCTGTCATCTTGCTGCCTTTGATCTATTCATTCTTGATATATATCAATAAATCACTCACCATGGTAACCCAAGTGCCAATGACGTAAGGCTTGCCCTCTAGATTCTCTTAGCCAGACACGCACAATTATTATCTTGTTTGGCTTTTAATGTAGGCGGGTTTTTTTCCCTTCTTTTTTTCTTTGTGTCCTTCGTCAGATTAGTTCTCAAAAGAAAACTAATATTTCATATTTTAGTTTCAAAATGGTCTACTAATTTTTCCTCCCCTTTCTGAATATTTTCTCCATGTATCATATTATACGTGGGACAAAATGTATGGGCAACTTTAGTGGCATACTTGAATAAACTTTGAAAAGTAGTGCCTGGGTTTCATTCAAAAGTAAATGTTATATTTCAGAAACTGGGACACGTATAACTTTTATAAACTTATGTATTTTACCTTATTCATATAGGTGTAGCACAATGGTATGCAGGCAGAGTCTTTTGGGACATGACCAATGAATGTACCTATGCAGGTTGCTAGTGTGATTGCTGGCAAGCAAAGATCCTTTTAACAGTAAATAACAGTTACGCTAGAAATGCACATATATATATTCAGAAAAACTCTCTGAGGAGTTGCTATTATTGTTTTATTCACAAAGAGGTTATATCTGAGTAAGGCATTAACGTTTTCAACTTGCAGGATAAATAGCTATTTTTTCATGGATGCTGATCATCACAGTGACAGTGCTAGAATTGCTCCTTTTTTCTTTCTGTCAGGAGTACGAGGCTTCATTTTATTTTGTTTTCAAAGTAGAATTTTCACTTGCAATGTGTGTAGTATCTTTTTGTAGCAGGGGCACCCTGTTCTTTTTTAGAAACATAGACTACAGAGTAAGTAAATTCTTGCGAACAAAGCCCATACTGTTGTTTCCCAGGATTTCCCTGCTGAGAATACAGTAAGAAGATATATTTTTATCCAGAATGTTACAGAATTTTTGAGAGTCTTAACGATGAGCTAGAAATGTGAATGACCACAATAATGTCTCTCCATCTTTATTCCCATTATAAAATGTGCATTGGTCTTCCGTGGTGCGTTTCTGTGATTGCATTTGTCCTCAGATCAATGTTTTTTCAGGTGAGCAAAATACTGCAAATGCAGTCCAGTTTCATCCAGCATAACTGATCTGAAGTAGGTTTACACGTTTGCAATAGTTCTCCTGCTTTGAAGTTGTATTTGTGTGTTTGTGGGGGGCAAAGAGGGGTTCAGAGAGCAGACGTGCCTGCTGTCTATAGTTCTCAAAACTGACTTTCATTTTCAGGGACAGCACTGAGGTTCTGTTTTGTATGGTGAGAAATATCTCCAAGTGACAGTAGACAGACTGTGCAATAAGAAATGAATAGCTCATCAAGGCTGATAGCAAATCTCTTTATTCCTTTTATTTAAAGGAGTTAGTACATTATATATTACTTAATTTTCACTTTTATTTATTTTTGCTTGTACAAGTTCAAAGGTATCAGTTGCACTGCATTTTGTCTTGATGGCAGCAGAGATATTGAAGAGAAGTTTGCAACTTTTAGCTTCTTTAGATAGTTCACCTCCAACGGAAGAAAAATGATAAGCCTTATGATTCTGGACATGCCTGCTTTTGTCATTGCTTAAAATTAAATACTATGCACAACTGTAAATAATTACTACCATGCACTGACTTTGAAAGCAGGTTTCTAGTTTGATTAATGAATAATGTAAAGGTTAGAGAGAACCAGCGAGTGAATCAGAAGTGAAGTCCTGCTGTTAGATGAAAATCTATCTAGAGAAATATACATGGCAATTTTGTCCTGTTCTATTATTAATTTTAAGCCTTGTATTCCTAAGAAATATATTACAGACCATTGTAATGAAACAAGGTAGCGTAATTGGATAAATGGGACACTATTTATGTTTGATGATGGGGATTTTTGCTCTCAAATTATACTTTTAAAGATACTTTATTTCATATCAACGCTGAAATTATGTCAAATGCATTTTGATCTTTCCAGGGCCGAGTCTGTTCTGAATCGTCATTCTTTTTTGAGATCGTCATATCCATTTCAATAATTCTTAAAGCAGATTTTCAGGGCTCGTTATATCAGTGCCTGCTTTAGTATCAGACTTCTGTTTACAATAAGCAACCCATTGGGGCTGTAGCTTTCTTCCAAGTGAATCACACCGGGCTTTACACACTGTGGGCCTAATTCTTCTCTCACCCAGGTGCAAAGCAAAAATAGCTTTACTCGCATGGGTGCAGTGGCAATGAGTACTGTCTGCTCCTGTGAGTAAGGAGAGACTCAGGCCCAGAAAGTGCTTCATCCTTCAACAAAATGCAGCCACCTCTGGGGTAGAACTCTTGTAACGATTCCACAACAAATGGTAATATATTAACAGAAGGGTGGAAAAAAGGTGGGAGCAAAGCAGAATTGCTATTCAGATTTTATTCCTAGGGGTATGAAATAGCTTTCAAACACAATTTCACTGGATTAAACTCTCCTTTCCCCTGCAGCTTGTTTAAATGTGCATATTTTATTTTGTGATCATGAATTGCTAGTTTGCTTTTTTAAAGCCTGCAAAGACGAATCTGGACTTAACGCCTTTTCCGGCTGCAGTTTTGCATTTGTCTTTCTTTCTTTCCCAATAGGCTATCTGAGAACCAAAGCTCTTGAAAAGTACAGCAGAAACAGATATCGGCCACTTTTATTTTGTTTATTGGTGATGTAGAACAAGGCAGTCTTGTTTTTGGAAAAGTCCTCACACAGCAGCAAACAGAAGATGGTTAGCGATCAGTACTTTAAAGCTGCAGTTTGCACCTTCGTAGTAAAGGTTATTTACAACAGAAACGTATTTAGAAAGTGAAATCCTGCTTTTTAGAGAGCAGAGTAGATGACCAGCTAGGTCTGATACATGCATTTCGGTGATGAAAGGAAGCAATATGTACATGTATTAATAACCAACAGCGTTGTGGTTTTTCAGATATTATTTGTAGCCTTTATTATACGGGAATAGAAACAGTTTCCACGCAAGCAGTACTGAATGAAACTGTAGAAATGGCAGCCCTGCTTTGTTTAAACATCCTCCAGAAACGCAAGTGCACATCAAAACCACCTAAATAGCTCATGCCTCAGAACCTTTCAGTTACTGTGCACATCATGATGCTGACAGATGACAAAAAAGCCAAAGTGTTCACAAACAAGGGAAGGCTTTACATCCCAGTTAATTAAATACATTCCAAAATAGGTACTTTTGCAACTAAAGAGCTACCAAAATTAGTAGCCATCTGCATTAAAATCTGGACCCGGGCTACTAAACCCGAAGCTGCAATGTGATTCTTTCCCATGTCAAAACTCAGGCTTGGATGGGACAATTTGAAATCGCGTTCGGTTCAGTTGTTTCCTTATTTCAGTTTGAATCTCATGTAACAAAGCACAGTATGTTATCACTACATAAAATTGGGACTCACCAAGAGTTCTGCCCCTGTGACGGTAATATAAAATATGTTTCCATCAGTAAATGACATAATTTTATAGCACTTGTGCAAATATGCTTATTGTCAGAAATTCTTCTGCATAAATGCTGTCCCTTCTCTGTGCTCTCTAATAAGAAAGCCTGTTTTCTTCAGAACTGCAGGATTTTGCTATTTCCTCCCGAAGCTTTCTCCTGCTTTTTGCTCTCATTAGTAGCACCCACCTCCAGCAACTGTTTCCCCTAGGAGAGGTCCGTGGAGTTCCTCCGTGGCACAGGGCCGGGGTGAGCCTTTCTCCCGTCACTTTACTTCACATCCCGATGAGGACATCACTCCCAGAGAGCAACTCCAGACTCACGGAAAAAAAAAAAATGCTGTCAGTTGCTGTGGCTGCAATTCCCAACTTAGCAGCAGCAGAGGGAATGGAACTGTACTCTATCAATTACAGTTGGAACCAGAGGCTAAACACTTATTGTGTTAAGCTATTGTGCAGATCTTAAGAGCTCAAATGTAAAAAAAATATCATGTCAGCTCATGGAGGGGAGAATAAGGCCTGGTTCATCTACTGGATGACGTATTATTAGCAAATGCAAAGTAAAATGATTCAAATTGTATTTAATGCCTCTTGGGTTGAGACATGTGTGTACCATATTATGCCTTAAAAAAGATTATCCTACTGACTTTACTGCTAAAATAACCCTTTGTTTTTCCCTATTCTCTTCAAAATGAAAATATTTGTGAAGTTTTACCTCTAAAGCATGCTCATGCAAGCAGAGAGACATTTTCATCTGTCTCCGAATCTGATACAGGAGTACAATTGGAAACACATTACACTCACAGCTGAAGTCTTACATTTCATTCGTGCAAGAGCAGTGATTTTTCATTACCTATTTAATTACAATAATTTGCATGAGAGTGGGTCCAGTTCTGCATCTCTTACTCAGCACTTTGCTTCAATGGGTAACTGGCTTGTGTAAAGACTATCTATGTAAGACTGGGCTGTTTAGCTATGAAATTAAATACACATATTTTTTAGCAATGTTTTGCATCTAAAGAGGGACCAGATTCTACCACTAAGCTTTAAAGCATAACCTGCCTTTGAGCTCTGGCTGTAACTTGTCTTACTGAGGGTTGCACGCTGCTCTTTTCTAAGGTCTGTAGGACTGAGATGTTTTACTTGCTTGGCTAACTTCACTTCTCAAACACATTTCCATTCTCTGCGTTAATTATTGAACACTGCTTCTAGGTACCTGTAGATGATACGGTCTTTTAAAGAATCCCTTCTAATGTGCTCTGTTTCGTTGTGCACACGAGCAGCAGCTCTCAAGTAAGTGCATGAAGAGGGTTCTGTGAATCGGGAGCCTAAAAGTTCCGGGTAGTTTTAGACATCAAAATCAGCTCTTCCTCGTTAAGGTGACCTCTCACTAGAGGCCACTGGATTTTGGCACCGAGTCATTTTTACCATGTTATAATAACAGCTTTTGCAACTCAGAAATGCCTTGACAGTGAACGGTGTGTTTTTTAAGGTTTCAAGGAGAAAGCCATCATAGAAGCATGCTGTTTCCCATTAGATTTACACATCCCTCTTTAACTGCTGGCTTTTCATTTGTTACCTTGTGAGGTTTTTCGGCAAAAAGAAGTGGAAAAACTGGTCTTATGATCTAAGTGTTGCATTAAGTGTTTCATTTAGGAAAATGAAGAGAATCTTTGTTTCCCAAAAAGAAATGTTTTTCCCCTTTGCCCTAGGAAAAATAAAGTCACAACAATAGTTACAAAATGACAGGATTAGATTGTGAAAAATGCATACTTTATAATGTGCAGCACCCGATGGTTTCAGTTATTGGTGAAATTCTACAGCTAAATGGAACATACAGTCCGAAATGGATAGGAAATAGATCCCTCTCAGGTATGCACACATACATACCTGCAAAACGGATAGCCAAGTGCCTGCCTGGGTGAGGGATGCACTGTTCTTACTGATACAAGCTGGAAAGCTCAGTAGTTTGAAGCAGGTTTTGTGAATTCCACTAATACTTGCCCATGTGTTCAAATTTGTGTGATTTGGGGAGTTGTGTCGACTGAAAGTCCTTTGTTAGTGTGTATTTTATTTAAACCTTCAGCTCCTGGAGTCTGGTAATTAACCAAATACCGAATATACATTCTAAAGGGAAAATGTATTTTAACTCCCCTGCCATGGAGAACTAGAAAGCTTAAAAACATGCAGCCTAAAAGTTCTTGTGTCAGAAGAAAAATACAGCATTCTCAAAGTAACTGTTTTTAGTATCTCATAATTTTCAGCTTGTCTCATGATTTTTGAGGGTGTGATTTGTGATTTTTGAATAAAGAAGGTTGGCAATATTGTGTTTGACTGATTCTCAGGATGAACCGTGCTGTATGTGAATGTGTATATAATTATATATGTATGCACACATAATACCAGTAAACAAAATACATAACATAATGATGGAGTGGAGTTATGTGAAGTGTGGCTCTGAATTTGTATTGCTGTAAACAAAGCAGTTTTGGCTTTGAAAGATCAGACCATTGGTTCTCGAGGAGTGGCTTTCAATTGAAGTTTCATGGAGATTGTTTTTAGTGGCAATTAAATCTAGAAAGTTAATAGCCAGAAACTGTTCTTTAAAGCCTAAACACATGCAAGACCTATGAGGAATGCACAGCCTGTCTTTTTTTTCAGATATAATCAGGCTCAACTTTATTGAAAAAAAATTTACAACTAGCAACATTAATGCCGTATTTTTATTGTATTAATGCAAATGAGATGCTGACTTCTTTCTTTCATCTCCACGGCTTGTATCTATTATAGCTGTATCTTATTCCTTTCTGTGTCTTTTTTTCCCTGTGTTCTGTAAACTGTATCGTCTAATGATACTGAGGCTCATTAAAGTTACTCATAATGGTAGAGACTATTGGAAGCATCCTCAGCTCTAGATGGCAATAGAAAAGCAAAACTACTGAATTTATGGAGAAAACTGATCCAGATCAAGCCTTCCATTCCCATTTTGGGAAACCCTTGAAAGTGACAGGTCAAATTAGAGGAAAAAACTTGCAGGAAGGACTAAGTAATGGAAAGAACAGGTCATTTTTAATATACATCTCTACCTGACAAAGATGAAAAGCAATAAAGTTTAAGGAGCTTTCTGGCTCTTCCTGCATCTCTCTCAAAAGACTCATTTAATTGAAAAGCCTGTTGTGCTTGTTTTTAAGCATGTAAAAAAGAAAAGGGACAGTTTTGCACAAGGCCTAATATTCCATAATATAATCAGAACTGTTACTGTTGTTTTTTTGTTTGTTTGTTAAGTCTCTCTGTTCATATAAAATTAAGACGCACTTATCTTAAATTGTAGTAAATTTCATTCAATATTGCTTTCATAACTTAAAAAATGCTATTAAATATTCCCAAAGCAACTTTGCTGAAGTGATATTTGGTCTGTTTATGTGGGATCAGTGTGGAATTTCTGTAGAAAAGAAGCAGAACACAGTTCTTGTTGTTAATGAAAATAAATAAATTTGCTGGAATACCTTGATAGCAAAGATTTTTCTAGTGAAAGAGCAGATAAAAATGAAAATCTGCACTTTGATATTTGCAGACAACAGACCTATTTCTATCACTGACCCTCCACTTGGATGAAGTCTTATTTTATTTTATTTTTTTTATGAAATGAAAGATTCTACTCTGTATATAAACAATTCTGTGTGAATAGCACTGGGAATCACTACTACAATTCATAAGGTCTGCAATTTTCTTTGTACATATAGGAAGAACTCATTTACTTCCTGCAGCGTGAGTGGACCAAAAAAAAGCTGGATCTTTTCATGATGTACAGTTTTGTACTGAAGAAACATAATCTTATTCTAGCTGGTATGTTCGTCTTCCACAATTAATTTTTTATGTGTTTTTCAGCCATGTCATAACATTTATGAGCACAGTACAAGTAGCATTAAATTAACATGTGAAAGGAAAAAGATGCTAAGTAGTTATATTGATCATCTGTAGCATTAAATGCTAAAAATTAAAAGCTTTCTAGTGCTTTTGATTAGCTGCATGGTTCCTGCTCATATATGTGCACTTTGATAGGAAGTAGATTAATATTTCTTCACACTTAGCACCTTTCTTCCAAGGATTTTGTATTAATGCTATGTACTCCATATAATAACCACAGCATAGTAGAATATTTTGTCCCCATTTTACAGAAAGGCAAATTGAAGCCAGGAGGCATTAACTGATTTGCTCAAGGTCAAACAGCATTTGCTCCTAATTCCCTGCTCTACGTATTAGATCACATTTATATTGTCAGCGCACTTCCAACAGAAAAAGACTGGGCTCCGTTAGCTTCCAGTCCAAATTATCGTTTCTAGGAGGATAGTTTTAGTCAGCATAATTTAAGTTTTTAACTTCCCTATGCTGTCTTCTGATGCATTGTTGGTCAGTGATAAGTTTCAGAACTGGAGGATTTGATTACAGTTACTTTTCTCCCCATATAATGCTCTATATTTCTTTGTCAGACCTGGGATCCAGCTTTGTATTTCTGACAATATATAATGCATTGCTCTGAGAAATATGAAAAGTGTAGTCTAATTATAACCTAACAGGACATACACATTTTCCTCCACGCAGTCTGCCAGAGGTGGTTGGAAATCTCTGGTAATAAACTTTAAGGCTCTGATTTTTGTAAGTCTGCTTCTGAAGTTAAGGGTCTAAATCCTTATGTGGGCATCTAAAGAGAGACTTGAATTTACAAAAGCGTTTAGCCCCAAGCAGTTCCCATGGACTTGCTCTGTTCCCTCTCTTGTGTGAACAGGAATTGTTAAGCCTTGATCAAGGGCAGTGTTGTTTTCCTAAACAGAGATGTATGTATTGCCTATAGAAGAAATATGATGCAAGTAATAGCCTATGGATTCATTAAGGATTGTTTATGTTTATTTTCACACCATATTACCTTTTGGGAATGGTCATTTCAGCCATTATATTGACAAGAACTCAGAATAAATCTTAAGTAATATAGGGCTAATCTGCCTTACCTGGGAGACCACCTGCTACCCTCTCTCACAGAAGCCAGAGCATTCAGGGCTGAATCACTAGGTAGGGCTTTCTTCTCTGGAGCTGGGGAAATGGGAAGTTCTACCATGGCTCCTTTTCGCATGGAAATTAATGCTTGCCTCTATGTCTGAATAGTACGTTATTAGAGTTTGTATTCAAATTCCCAGGATGGGAATTTGTCTCTCTGTGATAATTGATATAATAATATATATTTTTAGTGGTCCAAAATCCTTGAGCTTGAGCCTTGTATATGTAATTTATGTTTATTTCTTGCTGTTATTAACTGTAATTTAGTTGTTGGCGCCTTTCATTGCCTTAGATTGAAGGGAGTGTCTCTATCCCATTGCCCCTCCACAAACAATGCCCTTTTAGGGTTCCTTATCCTGTATCCTTGCCCAGACATTTCCTAGCCTGTCAAATACTGTCATTTTATTCCTTACAGATCATTCACAGTACGTCTCCTGTTGCACACACAAATAAGGAACAAATGCAATCAAGATGCATCATCGTTTAGCATAACAAATAAAAGCCGATCTGTGCAGATTTCCCTTAAAGCATCTCTTAATATGTATTGTCAAAATGTCTAAAGATGTCTTTTACTCATAAGCGTTTAATTATTTGTGACAATTAAACTAATATTCAGAGCAGGAAAAAAATGAGGGTATTAAATATTTTCTCTTGTCAAAAGCTAACAAAACATCACCTGACATCCCAAACTCCTTCAAATTTGTATTTTAAACATACCTTGTAACAGAAAAAAACACTCTTAAACACAATTTCAGGGCCTCATTTCGCAATCCTGGAATTTATATTGAATTTGAGGAAATAGTACTTTTGAAACCAGACCAAAATTAAGAGCACATCATTAAAATATATATCAGTAATGAGTGGCTGAATACTTGATGATTAAGGAGTATCAATTTTAAGTATGCACTTAAATTTAAGCCCAAGAACCCCCTTTGGCTGAATCAGAGGCTCAGACCTGGGTTTTGTAGGCTCAGCCAATTATTGCTTTATTTGCAGATGAGAAAAAAAAAAACAGCTCATATAACACAGACCGAGTCATCAAGCTTCTCTGTGTTCTGAATTATGGATTTTTTGTTTTGTTTTGTCTGATCATTCCTCTGACTGGATGGATTGCTTGAACTGTGCTGTGGATGGGGCAGAACAAGCAGCCAGCATTGCTGCACAGGCCTCAGTTCTGTAACCTACTGGGCAGCACTTTGACATGGAGAAAGTTCAGCTATATGATAACAAAAAGAGGAAAACATGAAGAGCTAGAAAAGAGCAGAAAACCAATGGAGGTCTTGAAAGGACTGATGCTGGGAGTACTGCATAGCCCCGGGCATAGAAATAATATCTATGTCATGGGTGCAACAATTCCTGTCGCCCAGATTGTTTGGGGTTTTCTGTTGAAAGGCTTGATTTCTACTCGTTCTAATGTTTCCAGATCTGAGCTGTTCAAAGCAACATTTTCCATTGCCAAAATCTGTGTTTCCTTTATTAAAATGTTCTTCCTGAAATTTAGGGTAGGATGTTGTTTGGCAAAAGTTTAATAAAAGACGTATGTCAGGGTTTTTGTTTTTTTTCCAAAGCTGTGGGACCACTGCTTTCTGGCAGTGACGTGAACATTTTTCAGAGATGTCTTCTGCTTTCCCTGAAAAAAAAAAAAAAAATCCACCCAAATTTGTCTGACTTATAAAGTCTAAAAGTTGCTGTTGCCAAAGAATTTTTAGAAGGTGACACAGCATTCTCCAAGCATGCCATCTCCACCACGCATGCTCTGTTCTCAGTTTCTCTTTTTCAATTACAGTCCCTTAAAATATGTGTTAGCAGGGGATAAGTAGGACAATTGCTTACCCTGCTGCACGGATGGCTATGGGTCTGAGCAGTCAAAGCAGAGTGAGGAGATTGTCTGCCCTGAGTGTGCTAGATGGTGCCCTGACCAAGACGGGGCCTGTGTGATAGCAGCTTCTCCACACCTCACATCAGTGCTTGCGGTGGTCAGGGGAAGGTTGGCTACCCCAGCACTGCCTGTACAGGGCTTGGCACCTGCCTTTGTGTGGAGAAAGTTACTTTAAAGGTGCCCAAGATGTGCTCCCTGTCTGTGAAATGGAGATGGTGGCCTGTTTTCACTGAGGGGCACGGCAGGAGTTGAGGCCTGGAGGAGCCCTGCACTGTAGGTAGGCTGGAACAAAGGGTGGAAAATACAGGCAGTTACAAAGCTGTTGTACTAAAAGAGAGCAGCTTAGAGAAAAAATACAAAGAATAATGCCAAGAGTTGCAACCACAGATATCTGTTTAGATAAAAAGGGCCTGTTAGTTTGAGATCTGTTCTCATGCTGCAACATGCAAATCGCAGATCGCCGATCACTGTGTCGCTGTGAAGGCAACCGCCATTTACCTCAGCAGGCGCTGGGCCCTTGCAACACCGACTTTTGTTTCTCTTGGGGCAGGGCTTTGTATTTTATTCTATTTGTTGCTCTATGGGAGACTTTTTATAGAAATTGAATCTTTCTATCTGGAAGTCAGTGACAAAATTTGAACCAGGAGCAGTGAGAGCAGAGCAGGATGTTGTCAGGGCACTGTGAAGTTTTGTGTCACCTCCCAGATGTTGTATGTTAAATAGCTAGAATCCTGAGAATGTTAATCTAGAAAACAGTCACCCTCACATTACTCTTTTGTTGTTTCTGTGAACTTATTAGATATTTTATCATCTTGTGATTTGGGTTAAACAGAGGTAAATCACTTGGAGTAATATTTATGGGGGAGGGGGAATGTTATGACACTGACATCTGGGTTTCCACTTGTTTGGACTAGGGACATTTTACCTTAATCATTCCCAAACATCTCTGCTAAAATACCTTCTTTCCTTTTTTTTTTTATCACCTATGAGGTATAGCCAGACAGGTTTTCAATTGGTGCCTGTGTGTTAGGGGTTGAGTGCTGAAATTTGTTGTTGGCGAGGATACGAAAAGTCTCATTCTTGTATTTGTCCTCTTTCATTAAGATTGTTTGGAAACATTTCAATTCAGTTAAAATACACTATTTTCAATATACAAAGTATGTACAGGGGAACAAGGGACTGATTATGAGTTTCTCCAAGGAAATATGCATCTCTTAGTCATCATCCTACAACTGGGAAAGTTCTAATGCATGACATCTATATAATTTAACCTAATAATTTTTTTTTTAGAGTGATGTAATGTGGAGAGTGACCTGGACTTTGTAAAAGTTCCCCTACTTACTACAGATTCCCAAGGGCAATGTAACATTCTAGACAGTGTTTTATATGCCCTGATTAAAATATAACATATTTTTGCATTTCCTGTGCAGTGACCTGTTAGTGCTCATAGACAGAACACTTAAAGAACAGTTACAAGGAGACATTTCCAAATGTGCCTAATATGCAAGAGTTTTTATAACATTCTTATTTCATTTGAAATTGCAGCTACAGCAGGAACCATTCAGACGGCGCATTGATTTAACTTTTTAATCCACTGTTTTGCTACGTCAAGTAAAATAAATGTTTGTTTTTAGCTCCGTTTTTTTGCATCGCTAAAACTCATAACTACTTGCTTTAAGCTTGGGATTCTAAAGGGAGCTACATTATCTGAGATTTAGAGCTCACTTTTTGTAGCTGCTTTCTCACAACTCCCCCAAGAAAAAAAAAATACAAAAGTACTACTTTAGCAAAAAGGGCTTTTATATCTCTATCAATTATAGAAACACCAGCTGCAGTAGATTACAAATGTGTTTGGCTGATTGTGATGTTGTGTGGGGAAAACTGTCACAAGGAGCTGGATTCTGTTCTCCCCGAC